CCCTCCCTTCTCTCCCTCCCCCCTCTCTCTCTCCTCCCTCTCCTCCCCCTCTTTCCTGTACGTACCTGCATTCAGCAGCCGAGTAAGAAGCACATGAAGCAGCGACGCAGGGCGACTGGAAACAGTTGATGAGTCGACCGGTGCATGGCTTTGTGCTCATCTTCTCCTGACCTGGATGATGTGTGTTATACAGGCATTAAAAAATGTGATTTAGGTATCTTTTAAAAGTGTAACATAGGTGGGTTTTTTTTTCTAAAACGTTAACGAGACTTGCACAGCTTGGTGTTTATCTTCTCCTGACCTGGGGGGTGGTGTGTGATACAGGTATTAAAAAAAAGGAAGAAATATAGATATCTTTTAAAATGTACTACAGGTGGGTTTTTAAAATGTGATGTAGGTATTTAAAACAAAATATAATATAGATGTCTTTTAAAATATAATACAGGTGTTCTTAAAAAATGTGATACAGGTATATAAAAAAATATAGATGTCTTTTCAAAACTAATACTAGTGTTTAAAAAAATATGATGTAGGCATTTAAAAAAAGTAATATAAATTTGTAGTACAGGTATTTTTAAAAATGTAATAAAGGTATTAGAAAAAATGTAATGTAGATATCTTTTAAAATGTACTACATGTGGTTTTTAAAAAAATGTCATGTAGGTATTTAAAAAAATGTATTATAGATGTCCTTTAAAATGTAGTACAGGTGTTTTCAAAAATGTGAAGTAGGTATTTTAAATAATGCAATACGAATGTCTTTTAAAATGTAATACAGCAGCTTTTTCTAAAATGCGATGTCTTAAAAAAAAAGGAAAATATATGTTTTACAAAATGTAATACAGGTGTTTAAAAATGTGACGTAGGTATTTTAAAAAATGTTATACAGGTGGGTTTTTTCTTTCTAAAACGTTGGTTTGAGAGATGTATGGCTTGGTGCTAATCTTCTCCTGCCCGGAGGTAGTGCAAGCGTGGGTACTTGGGTGTTAAAATTAATGTAACACCGGTGTTTGTTAAAACTTAAATGCAAAGAAGGTGTTTTAAAACTGTAAGATAAGTGGGTTTTTTTTGGATGTAATACAGGTTTTCAAAAATGAAAAGTAGCTCTTTATCTCTTTAATTTGATATAGGTGTTTAAAAAGTGCAATATAGGTGTTTTTCTTTTTAAATTTAATACCGGTGTTAAATGTAATTTAGGTGTTTTTCTTTTTATGCTATATAAATGTTTTAAAATGCAATATAGGTGTTTTTCGTTTTATATAATATAGATGTTTAAAAGTGCAAAATAGGTGCTTTTCTTTTTTGTAGAATACAGGTGTTTTAAATGTAATATAGGTGTTTTTTCTATTTAAATGTAATACTGGTGTTTAAAAATTTGTAATGTAGGCTTTTTTCTTTTTGATTCAATACAGATGTTTT